CTTCTGGCAGTGTGCTGGTGAAAAAAATTGCCGAACATTTGTTCTCGATCGAACAATGTTTCTGAAGATCGGAAATGTTTGATATCTCGAACATTGTTCGTCGAATGTTCGTCAATGTGCCTGAATGTCGAACAATTCTAGGAACATTTGTAAAGTAGTAACAATAGCAGCACGAATGTTGGTCACATGATTTTTGTCCCAATCATGCGCCGATCACGTTGACTCTTTACAAACACAGCTACTAGACGGTGCCACGAGGTCTGTTCGCTGCAAAATGTTCGGCAATGTGCGCCTCGGCAATTGTTACCCCGCACATTGCCAGACAAAAACATTGTTCGGACAAACATTTGTTCGGAAAATGTTCGGCAATGTGCGCCAGGCTTTAATTTCCGCGTTATTCGAACGCATGAGCGTAGAAAATAAAAGCCGCATAAAATCCGAGTGAGCTGAGAGTGGCGCCGACGATATGTGCATTAAAATTAATTTTTCATGAGCCTTTCGCAATTCATTAAGCCTTCGACGGTACAGCAATGAAATGCTTCAGGAACTGGAAAATTTTCTCTAGGTAGGTAAGGTAGATATGTGTGATATTTAGTACGGCCTAACTCCGTTGCAGTGGCCAGCGATCTAACTGCGTGGCTGTATAAATAGTCATCGTGGATGCGGGGCGGCGGAGCTACTGATCCCCTCCCCCCGCCCACGCGGCGTGGCGGAGGAACCATCAGTGGGGGTTCCTCTTCCGCTCCTCCTTGGTAACGGCACACACACACACACACACGCACACACGTACATACGCACACACAGAAGCACACACACACACACACATATATATAATTGTTATTCTTGCACCCCTTAACGGTTTATAACCTGTTATTGCTGTTTAGCAAGGACGAGAAAATTAATCCGTTACGCTTTTCGAACCTCATATTTTCGATGTTTTGAAATTGCGCTAGAGCAACACTGCGAGAGAGCGATAAACCAAATATAGGTGTGGCCTAGTGTTTTCGCAAAGAAAGAAAAAACCATTTGTTTTTTCCGTACAAATATACAACGAGCGTATGTCAGCAGGTCGATATAGGTGGCGCGTCACGGCAGGGTTGAGTTTCTCTGGGCGTGTTTGTCTGGTCGGATCCACGGATCTCGATCCACTGGAATCCACCCTAACCCAAACAAATGCAAACTCACTTTCAACGGTTCACGCTGTGACCTATCACGGGATGGTTCATAACAAAGAACAAGCTGTGATTGGCTGAGGCGCGGGCCGCCATATTGGATCGCGTTCGGATCCACCTCGCTAGCAGGGTCAGTGGATCGAGATCCTTGGATCCGACCAAACAAACAGTCAGATCCACTGATCCAGTGGATTGAGATCTGTGGATCCGACCAAACAAACAGTCAGATCCACTGATCCAGTGGATTTACTTGACTTCGCCTGTAGATGCGCCCGTTTCGTCGACGAGGCGTTTCTTGGCTTCGGCCTGTAGGTGGCGTTTCGTCGACGAGCGTTTCTTGCCCTAC